CTGCAGCGAGAGCACCTGCTGCACTGTTGATTAGCTGGCTATCCTAGTGAATTGTGTTCTGCTTTTGGTGGTGGACAGCAAATATGACTAGTCAATGACATCAGGACCAGAGCTGTTTTGAGTATAGACATACAGCGGAGTCAGAGTTGTTGTACCTCCTTGGTTTCCCAGACTAGAGGGCTTGTTTGTGCGCAACAGGCTTTGTTTGCATGTGAAAACTTCTTTCAAGTGGGGAGATGAGGGAAGTGGTAGACTGTGTGTGTACACATGTATGTAGGCCAGGTTTGTCTTTGCCTTTTTTCTTCAGACATTTCAAATGGCTTTCTCATCTGTGCAGGTGAGAGTAATCCTAGGTTTTTCACTACATGGTTACACAAAATGGTTTCTGTTCTTAACCTCAGTCATCTAGTACCTGTGTTTAAGGATGATCTAACATTAGCATAGCTGGAACACAATGGAACCTTGAATTGTAATAATGTGAAAGTGTATGGCCTCTGTCTGCAATAATGCTGATGTTAGAGATGCATCTGACCTCATGCTGAGGTGTGGTGCATACTCAAGTACTTTAACTGCCTCTATTCGTATAAAACTTGGTAGCAAAGTCTAGTACTTTCATGTAGCCAGCAGCTTTCACTCTTAACTGCCTAGCTTTAATAATTGATTTTAATAACTTGCAAAAAAAGTTGTATTCTAGTCATCAGTTCTCTACCTGCATTAGCAAAAGTGCAGTAAGTTCTAAGTGGCCTTGTGCCTTCAAACTTCAGTTTAGATTTGCTTAAGCAAAACCAGATTGCTGTTATGCAAATATTGAGGTATTCAGTCTCTCTTTCAGAGGATTTGACATTGGAAATCACTTCTGTGAATGGATGTATGATTACACGTATGAGAAGTACCCATTCTTCAAAGCTAGTTTTCTTAAATATCCTTCAAAGAAGCAACAGGTAGGTGTGTAAGACATCATAAAATGCCAGTGTCCACAGTCTTCAAATCTTAACTCGCTTCCAATTTTGTTTTGGATTTACTCTGTCCCAAGTCCTTTCTTCCATGACTTCCTTAACTATAACACTTTCTGTAAACCTGACTGTCTTTGCTTTAAAAATCATAGGAACTTCATAATAGCTATTCAGGATAGAATATTTACTATGTGCCATGTAGCTGTCTGCCACAAAAAATCCAGTAGTTGTGGACTGTAGCCGTGAAATTAATTGGCAGTAGCAAAATGGCATCTGTTGTCCCAGTATTATGGCTTATCTTAAACCTGACTTCCAAGCAATTAGTAGAACCATGGTTAATCTTAAGGCTAACTCCAGCACTGTCAGTGTCTGGAAAAACAAATGACAACTTAATAAAAGGCCTGCCTACTTCCAGAAGAAGTCAACAGGTCTTGAGATGAAGAGTTGTAACTCCTGTTTATTTGCCTTCCAGCTTCACTTTATCTCCAGTTACCTGTCTGCATTCCACGATGGCTTTGAAAATCTGAGCAATGAAGAGAAGTCCAAACTAGAAGAAGTAGTGTTGATAGAAGTTAACAGGTAATTCATCTTTCACAACTGTGTCTTGAAATTTCTATGGTGATACCTCTACCTGTGTATGTCCCTGGGTGGGAAATCTCAGCCAAGTGAGATTCTAAGCTATTTATATGTGGTAAAGAAAAGTCTGTCCATTGCAACCTTTTGGTGGGTGGTATGTTATTGGAATAGGCAAAATACTACTCCATGGGGAAGCTAATGGAATTATTTTTGTATTATCATATTTGAAGGAAAGGTGGGGACATCCCCAAACTAGGGAATACTAATCTAACAGGATATTGAAATAAGGTGGTGTGACTGACCTGGGTATTTCATTAAACACAGCCTTGTAATTTCAGGTTTGCCCTTGCATCACACTTCTTCTGGGGTCTGTGGTCCATTATACAAGCGAAGATCTCATCCATTGAGTTTGGTTACCTGGTAAGTTTTATGTACTTGTCTCATGTAACTAAAAACATACTCTGAGGTAACTTGTTGTACATGATGGGAGAGTAAACAAAGTGGCCTCCCCCAGCAACTACTGTCTTCTAAGTGGAGCAAAAGTTTAAAAAGCCCTATTTTTTACTAGCTTGTGCTCTTTGCTTAAGAATGTAAAGAACATCTAAGATTGTAAAAACTTCAGAAACTCTTCTTATGGTTACAGAGAGAGGCTACAGCCTTATGTGTCGGGCCTTGCAGTGAAGTATTCTGCAATAAAATCCTGTGCAAGAGCACAGTGCTATGCTGTGCTAGCATGCACTGAGTGTGAACCTGGAAACTGAGGAGTCAAAGCACACTTGTAACGTGTTGATAATTCAGTGTGCAACACTGTCAGTGCTAGATAGACGGTACCCTCTATCTCCTGATACATTTTAATGTACTGTAAAGTGATATCACTTTCAGGTATACTGAATATCCTGCAGGAAGTGTTTCAGAAGCCATCCATTTTAGTGAAATCCTGACCTTTTTAGTGCCTGGGGTTTTTTTCCTGACATGCTGGCAGCAGCTAATAATGTTAGAGTTGAAATAAGACTGAAGGAAATTTTAAGAGTCCAGAACAACACCTCTGGAGGGATTATCCTTCCTAAATATAGCTAATTAATATACTGAGATGTTAGATTAGGGAGGTAACACGGTGTTGTGGTTTAGCAACTAAGCACCATGCTACCACTCGCTTGAATTCCCTTCCCCCAGATGGAATGGGGGAGAGAACTTGGGGGGCAAAAACCCTTCATGGTTTGAGATAAGAACAGTTTAATAGAGGCAACAAAGGGAGAGGAAGCTTTATTACTGATAAAGGAATATACCAAAACAAGTGATGCACAGTACAATTGCTCACCACCTGGTGATCGATAGCCCATCCCCCAAGTGGTGATCCCCTGTGGCCACCTCCCCTTAGCTATGCACAGTGTGACATTTTACGGAATGAAATATCCCGTTGGTCAGTTTGGGTCAGCTGTCCCCTCCCAGTTTCCTGTAGAGGAGTTTGGGAATGCAGGTGCAGTATCAGAAATGGAAAAAGTCCTTGACTTGATACAAACATTGCTTGGCAACAACTAAAACCATGAGTACGTTATCAATATTCTTGTGAGCACAACCAAAACACAGCCTTGTTCTAGCTACTGCGAGGAAAATTAACTCTATCCCAACTAAAACCAGCACGCACCTTCATTACGCTTCCCCATCCCAAATAAGAAAACTCAGCTGTACTTACTGTATCGCGTACTGAATATCCCTTATTTCTGCAGGAATATGCGTTATCCAGATTTGAGGCTTACTTCGATCAGAAGAGGAAGCTGAAGGTGTGAAGGTCGGGGGAGGGGAGCGGCCTGTTGGTTACTGTAAGAAGAGGGCAGCTGGACAGAACTTACACTGTGCTTAGGCTACTGTATCTCTAACGAAGGTGTCACTGAATTCCAGTTCCTTGGAACGCAGGTGTACAGTACTGAAGACTGTGTAAAAATGACTTGTTTACAGTTTCGTAAATACTTGTAATGAGACTGGGAGGCAAAAGTAAAATACAACAGTGCAATATCTTTAATCTTTTTGATCTAGAAGGTATTTTATATTATGGAAGAAGCTTACAACAAAGTGTCAATACCACGTGCATCAGAGCAAACAGTGTTACTGTGAGTACTTTTTCTAGGGGGGTGTTGGCATTATGGCTTGTAAGCGGAACAGTTGTAAAAGATGATTCATTGTAGACACTGCCTCTTAATGAGAAGGAAAAGCGAAGGGGACAACTGTTAAACTGTGAAGTAGGCTTAAAATCTTACTGTGAGATTAGGTTCAACATGCCCGGTGAACACTATCTTCAAAGCTGCTGATACCTTACACCACTTAAACCATAAAGCAACTAAACACATTGAAGCAGTTTGCTTTAACGTGTTAGCTACACGTACATGAATGTTTCTCTTCAGCTGGTGTGCCTGTGAAGTATGAATGAACTTTGAACTGGACATTCTGAAGGCGTTTGTCTTGAGCTGTTCATTCTGTGTCCTTCAGGAACACGCTTTAGCCCAGCCTGGTTGTCTCTTAAAACGCTGTGTCCTGCACAGGGGGTTCTGTGGGCTGGCAGCACTGGGAAGAGTGCCTTGAATTGCTCTAGCAACTCCCCAGATAACTGGATTGGCATCGACGATGCTTGTAATGGGAGCCCATCTCTCTTGCGTTGCCACAGTATATGGCTGTAAGAAATAGAGCCAAAACTGTGGAGAACACTTCAGGAAATTGCTGTTCTGCCCATGCAATGGTTACGTGGCTTGGGAGGCGCTTTTCTTGCGCCTTTGACTTTCATCCTGTTCCAGCAATCCAGTAAAGTGGAGCATCTTGTGGGGAACAATAACATGTATATTGAAACTTGACTATAATCTGTGTATATGCCATCTAAAGATTTCTTTAGATATCTGGAAGCTTGTTTATTTTGAATGTTTATTTGTTTGTGCTTTCTAACACACTGTATTATAAATAATAAACTTCTAAGTCTACCCTTTTTCACTTGTATAGCAAATACTGTTTTCAAGCAGCTGCAGACGTGCAGTGTTTCATGTACTGTGGCATAACTTGTAACAGCTGTCTCTCTGTTCTCCAGTAGAGAGACTAATTTCCCATACACTCTATTATTACTTTATAATAAATATAAAGCACTTAAGAATATCAACTATGATGTTTAAGTCTTTTACATCTGCAGGGTAAAATAAGTGCTGTTTCTGGCCTTAATTTATGCTGGAAATACTGTCTTGCTTACCTCCAAAGGCAGACTGATCTAAGCTTTAGGCTCAGTGCTGTGGGATAGACCTACTTCTAAGTCATTGTGTCTTCAGCATTTGTTGTGTAACTGAATGCTGATATTGCAGGAAAGACAGGTGCTTAAAGCAAGTGATGAAAAGTAGACTGAAGATCAGTTTATAAAGTCTGTAGCTTTAGAGGTGGGAAAAGGTTTAAGTACTTCACTGTATCTGTCCTGCCCTAAAGACAAAGGTAAAAGTTACCAGCATATATCGAGTTGTTGGTATTAACCATCTGGTTGATGGGTGATGATCTCCTGTGTGAGTTTTACTGGCACACCGGGTTCAGTATTTGTAGTATAAATAGCCAGGTGATTTCTCTAGGCTGCTGAAGGCTTCGTTTAACAGGTACCACTGCAGGCAGTAAACCCAGCAGAAAAAAAGTGGACACAGCTCAGAATGAGGCCTTGCAGCTGGCTGAAAAAGACTGAGAGGCTAGTAGGTGCCTGGATTGTGTCGGAAGCCTTGATTTCTGTTCCAAGGGTAAGTTCAAGTTCTCAAGAAGCTCATGGAGACTGTCCTGTGTGACTCATCCACTGCGTTTCATGCTTCTCAGAACCAAAAAGGGAGGAAGACTCAGTCACAGTAGCACCAATAAAAGGTCACATCAGAGGCGAAGCCCTTAGAGTTGAGGTGGCTCTTGTTAAATTCTGAGAGGAAACTTAAGCCACGAAGGCTGCTGGCAAGACTGCTTCAGGTAAGATCTTTTAAGGTCCCTTCCAGCCCAAACCGTTCTGTGATTTTATGAAATGCAGTTGCACTCCAGCATTACTACAGATTTGAGGATGAGGGGGAGGAAAGGCCCTGAAGGAAAGAAAAACTTGCTCCATCTTGTGCCTTTTGTAAATTCATTTTACAGAGGGTAGGATTTCCCCAGGTGTTGTGTGGTGGGCTTAGTGGGGACACCAAGTCAAAACTCATGAGCAGAGAGCAATGCTTAGGCTTGTCCTGGTATGATTGGTAGGGTTTTTTTGGTAGATTTGCCTGTGGGGGGCCAGTTTTAAGTTTTCTTTTGAGAGCTTGTGGTAGACAAAGAAAGGCTGGAGCACAGTCATCTTGCACAAAGGCACAGACTGCTGAAGCTGACCAAGCAGCCCTAAATGTACTGGCACCTCTGTAGTGGGATGGTGCCTTCTGAAGCCACATCTATAAGACTTGGTACAAATGTAGTTAAACACCTCATCCTTCTTTTGACTTCAGAATAGTTTTATGGTTAATCTGATTGGTTTTTCATGAAGGCAGTTTAAAACTACTGATGAATTTTCCATTCAGTTGATTTGTAAATACAACTTGCTTGGAGCAACCTGGTCCAGTGGAAGGTGTACCTGCCCTTGGCAAGGGAGGTGGAACTGGGTGATCTTTGAGGTCCCTTCAACCCAAACCATTCTGCAATTCTATGATTCTAACTTGTGCTTGATCTCCTGGAAACCCCTGGGTTTATTGATGCTTTGTGAATTCTTGTCTTAGTGGCCACATTGCCTCACAAGTTGCTGGTGAAAAGACCTGCTATTAACTGGTGAAAATGGGACTTTTGGTATAAGGATTAAACCTAAATGCACCCCCCAAAAAAAGAAAGAAACCCAAACCATAGCTTTTCAAAGAACTCTGGTTTTGCACTGTGAGGCTTGTTGACTTGAGGGTCAGAAGCTACCTTGGAAAATCCCTGTTCCCAGTACTTAGGATGCTAACAGGAAAACCGACCATGGCTGCTTGGCGTTTCCTCTTTGAAGCAGCCTTGAGGTGTGACAGTGTGCTGAGAAGTCATTACCTCTAACTGTTACTTTGTGTGTCTCAATCTGCTAATAGCAACAAGAATTTCTGTTTTCCCCTCCCTAGTAACTTGGCTGAGGTTGCCCTACAGCTTAAATGGGGTGAGGTGGATTTCAGGTGGATGTAACTATTTATCCTTCCTGACTCTGGCTGTGGGAACACCTTGGGGGCGCTGGGGCTTGCGGGCGTGCTGTCCAGGGAGTTATTTGTCCTGCAGTTCATCGATGATGGGAAGAAGCTAGCTTCGTTCTGCCAGAGCCTGTAACTGGGAACTGAAGAATGTGTTCTCTGTCTTGCAAATAGAGGAGAAAGCAAATTAATTCCCGGAATGAAGAGAATTGGCTGTCCTTGGCCCAAGTGCCAGCACCTCTGAGCTCATGTATTCCGCTTTGCAACCGCGGGTTGGGCTCAGCTGATGAGTGATGCTGTGCGAAATCATAGTGACCACATCTGCTGGTGCCCCGAGGTACCCATTTGTCTTCTCCGCAGACCACATCTTCAGTGAGTCATTGCAGCTTTCCAGGGCTGGCAAAAAAAAAAAATCACAAGTCCAGCAGCCAACAGATCCTGCTGCTGTCTCCCTGCCACAATCCAGCTCTCCCAGTGGATGCAGCCAGTGCGGGGAGCTGCCAGCGGCTGGCCGGGGCAGCACAGCCCTGCATTGTTTCAGTGGCTCGCAGAAAGGAAGGTGGGTGGAAGAAGCACTCTGTGTGCTGTACAAAGACAATTAGGCTTTTAAGAATTCAAATCCTCTCTTGAAAGATCCTTGAAGCAGACTTGGGTGAGCTCCATCAACATGCAGGCAGGATTGTCTCTAATACCAGCCTGGATCCGTGTGGAGCAGCAAACGGAGCATTTTACTGGAGATGGATAAATAGCTGCGATGGTTCTGGACTGAAATAAAGTGCAGCGTGTGCTTACAGGGCCCTGGCAGGGAGCAAAAAGGAGCTACTGTACTTGGTGCCCGGGCAACAAAGCTGATCACTAGCAAACAGGCTACTTGGGTTTTTTCCTAACGTGGAATTAGCTTTTTGTGGTTTTCTTTGCAATTTGTATTCAGAGCTCCTCCTGACTCGCCGTTAAGTGTGATTGTAGTATTCTCTGCAAACAAAGCACGCTCTGTGTGTATATACATACACATATATGACTTGTATTTACCGGTCTCATTAAACAGGGATCAGCCAACGAAGTCTGGATGCAGTCCAGTCTGCCCTGCATGAGTACACTGAGCCCTGCCTGAGGAGAAGGCATCCTGACCAGGAGCTGGTTTGAGCCTCGGAGTGCTGTAGTGCTTGTCTGAAGAACGGTGCTGGAGAAGGCAGGAGGGTAAGTGGCGGTGATGGGAGGTCGGGTCACAGGCAGCCTCTGGCAGAGGCAGGAACAGCACATAGTCAAGTTCCAGCCTTGTGTCCTGATCTTGTCCCAAATATCTTCTCAGAAAGCCTTACGAACACTGCTTGTGCTGCTAGTCCTTGGGAATGTTATTTTTATTGTTCCCTTCTTATGGAAGTAAAATGGGATGATGTGGGAATTGGCCATCCTTCCTGATTTTCAGAGCCCACAGCTTTCGAGGTGCTGTAAAGTCAGGGCAGGCAACTGCTGTCTAAAGTGGCCTAGTGGTGGAATTTAAATGGCACACAGTGGCGCTTGGGAGCTCTGGCAACCTGCAAAGGCATCAATGGGATGCTCCCAGTTCCCATCAAGTTGGGAAAACGGGCAGAGCCAAAAGATGCAGCCTTGAACAGGGTTGAGGTATTTCCAGTTGCTGATCTCCTGCCTTGGAGACAGAGATCTTCCCACCTTGCAGGACGCTCAGCCTCTGGTTGGGTAGAGGAAGAGCCCTGCCTGCACTCACCCCAAGCGTTTGCTGACCTCTGCTCTGGCGTTTGCCATGTGGACACTCAGTTTCCTCTGCACAGGGGTTTTCCTCCCTGCCATTGCACTTCCTCCTACAGCCTGTGCGGAAGGTACCGTGTTGTATTTGTCTTGGCTGTGTATCCTGATGGAAAGGGTGTTTAGCTTCTGTGTTAGAAACCCAAATTTTCCATGCTGAACAATCCCAGGGAGCCCGTGTTCTCTCTTCTTGCTGCATCTCATGGAATCGTGAGGCACTGGAAGTCGGCAGAGACTGTGGCTGTATGATCTTGTTGCAGATGTAAATAAGGAGAACAAGGGATAGAGAGGAGGGAGGAAGGAAGGCTGCTGTAATTACCCAGCACAAAGGCTATTAAATGATACAATAATTTCCTCAGGAAGAGATTATAGATTATAGTGTGTAATGTCTCAGGTCTGAAGGGCTTAAAAATTCACCTTAGAACGAAAGTCTAATTAGAAG